GTGACGCCAGAATCCAACTAATGTTCAAATAAAAATTATCATAAAGCCCACCATTTGGTATAAGTAAATAAATTTTACTTTAAAGATCAGAGATTTGTGGGGGTTACTTAGTCCTGTACTGATAAATCTTAAGCGGTGGACTGCATGTAAAGCTTGCTTGGAGAACGTGGACACCAAGGCATTCACAGGTGCCAAGATTCCCAAAGTCGCATAAAATGAATGGCCTCAGTGCCATTCATTGTATAATTAACGCACAGGCATTAAGGCCTGTGCCTTCATATCGGTCTCTTCCCCACCCCCAATCAACCCGCCACCACCCTCCCTTGAATGCTGCGTGTCCTGTGCCACGTGTACACAATGACACAAAATGTGCAGAAAGACACAGAAAACGGATTTAATCTTTCCAGGGTTCCGGATACCAGGTAGTTTAGAATATATTTTCATCGCTCTTTTGGTAATCCGGTTCGAATGATTTCGTTATAGCGGATCAGAGTTTGCAAGCCTCGACTCTTTTACACTTGCTTATCGATCATGTGTTTAATTTGTTATTATCTGAAAAGGATTCCCGTAATGAGCGATAAACTAGTCATTTCACGATATTTATTTATATCAAATGGGAGGCGTTTTGATAGTTATCATTAGCCCTGGAAATGACTTCGGGGCTTCACGAAGAGGAGAAGGGACGTCAAAGCGGCAAAAAGTCGAGATGGGAGACAGGATAATGAATCACAGAGGTAAAATAGACAGACAGACACAAAGCCATAAAAAGGTAAGATGAGTACTGTGGAAGTAGTCGAATATGGCATACAGTGGGGTAATGGTAATTTGAGGCCCGAAGTTAACTGCCAATTAATAGACTTTTAAGCCGTATGAGTATACGTTGCCCAGGGTGCACCACGTGGAGGTAAGTCTATTGAGCACCCCTTATTTCACGATATTTAAGTCCATTTAATGAAATACTTTCAGGTGAAATCACCCTACTCCCTTGAGTGATAGTACCATTCTATCGTCCAAATTGAATAAAATCAAGTGTGCACTTTCTAATTCCGTCTGAAGAACTTCAAATAGCTAGACTGAAGAATATTCTGGTAAATACAAGTCACCTCACTTGAAAGCAACCTCCACTATAATTTCCCTTAATTTCTTGAAAATTCATGGCAGCCGAATCCTTTCAGCACTACACAGATTGAAGTTTTAAGGACCATGGCCACAATAGACCTACACAGAAATCTTGAATGCAAGACTGAATCTTTAAGCGTGTACCCCCTCCCCCCCCCCCACCTCCTTCTCCTCCTCTAGTCCAAATGGTATATCACGTACGCGCATTTTGTTCAAATGGACTAATTGAGGAAATTTATACAATATCACCCCTTCTTTCTGGGCAACATCTTACTTAAGCCTTACAAGACTGATTTTGCAGAAAGTAAATGATTTTTTCCTTCCTTGAACTTTATCAGGCATTAAACCTTTCAAATCAATTCAATTTAAGATTTTGATAGTTATAATTAGCCCTTTAGTTGACTTCAGGATTCACAAGGGGGGAGGAACATCAACGTGAAAAGAGTCGAGAAGGGTTGGGAACAGAAGGGTGTTTCAAAGATGTAAAAGAGACAGACACAAAGGCCGAGAGTAGGGTAAGGCGAGTATTGTGAAAGTGGTGGAATATGACATACAGTGAGGTGATGGTGGTTTGAAGTGAGAAGTCAACTACCGACTGATAGACATTTTTGCCGTATGGCCCAGGATGTACCACGTGGAGGTAAGTCTATCGCACACCCTATTCAATTTAAGGTAATATAGAGCAAATGAAGTCTGATTAAGCAATTCAAATTACACTCAGAAGGACAGCTGGGTTTTTTGCTTTCTAGGACTCTAGGTACACTATCATTCATTATATTTTCGTCATCGGAAAAGGAGGCCTATTTCTGACCCCCCCCCCCCTCCTCCTCTACATTTTTCCTCATTTCAGGAAGACACTGGAAACTGGAGATAGAACATGATTTAGATTTATACATGACAAACTGTAAAGAGAAAGTCCTAGACAGATAAAAGAAATCGAAAACACTCCATGAAAATTAAATTATACAGAGACTGACTTAGCAAGAAAACGAATCTTCCTTGAGACCCACCAGATGCCTTCCATCATTTTTTTCTGTCTTGAAGACTGGTTCTGCGTCTGTCTTTCTTCCACTTTCCTCCTAACCCCAGATAACTGTTTGCAATGCATGACAAAGTTTGCGATGCGAATTGACTCGCATTTGTGTGTTCAGAGCGTGTATCACACGTATATGTGGGGTGCGCACAGTAAACGTGGATATTTTAGAGACGAACGTGGCGGGAATTAAAGTTGGCGCGACAAAAGAAATAAAGGCTATTTCAAATTGTATTTATCATACCCATGGGAAGTAAATACCAACCTCTTTCATTCAAAAGGTGGTATATGAGCGGAAGAAACACTGATGAAAAATGGGTGGGTTTGAGTTTACTACGCAAGTTCTAAAGAATTTGACTCTATTTGTTGTCTGGAGGCATCGAGCTATTCATTTCCTCACTTGATTAAATATACATTGCAATGCCTTGAACCACAATTCAAGGTCCATGATTTGGTTACTTGGTGAATTCACTCTCACCATAATCAAAATTTGCTGTCCAGTTGGATTAATGAAGAGGTCGATGATGCTTCATCGATTAATTTGCACTTTTTCTTCTTACAGAACGGGACACTACTATCCAAATATCCCAGTTTGATTATGAGAATGGTTGTGGAAAAAGGGAATACTCCATTTCACTCAGGTTGCAAAACGTCAATTTGCTTTGGCTAATTATTTTAATTCAATAATGTCTAATTAAGTTTTTATTTGGTATTTGTAATCAAATTATTTGATTCATTGCACAACTGTATTATACTACCTAACCATTCTTTTCATGTACATATTCATCGATAATTTTATTTTGAAGGATAATTCTATGAATATTCTAGCACATTCATTCTGACTATTCAAAATGAAAAATGGTGGTTTTTGTATCTTATTTAACTGGGGCGATTTTGGCAGTATTTAATCAAAAAGGCTAATTGATGTATGTCATTCCTGCAACGTCAAGGTGAGGGAAACTAAATTAATTGACTAATTAATTAATTTGTTAGCAGAAGCTAGCTTGGCAATATTTTGTGTTTTTGTTTGTGTCACTGGTAAGTATTTCTGCAAACGTGTCAAATATTTATTTATTTATTTCAAATGGCAGGCGTTATGATAGGTATCATTAACCCTTTAGTTGACTTCAGGCTTCACAGAAAGGAAGATAAACAGTAAAGTGGCAAAACGTCGAGAGGGGGACAGAATAATGATTCACAGACGTAAAAGAGACAGACAGACACAAAGGTAGAAAAAGGTGAGGTGAATACTGTGAAATTATTCGAATATGAAATGCAGTGGGGTCTTGGTAGTTTGAAGTCAGAAGTCAACTGCCGAATAATAGACTTTTTTGCCGTATGAGTATACGTTGCCCAGGGTACACCACGTGGAGGTAAGTCTATCGCACACCCCTCGTGTCAAATATTGTGACCTAAAATATCTTTACTTAGGAATTGATGTATTTTGGCAGAATTGACATGTAATGACAAGTTCTAAAGACAATTTTAAGAAGCCATCTCTTTTGCTAAGGCTAATTCATGTATTTAACATAGAATTCCGACCAGGTTTAAACGTTAATGAATTGTGAGAAATCTTAATAAAACAAGAATCGGGATGAATGCGAAGTTAGAAGACAGCAAATACGCACAAATTCCAATGTTCTCTTACACCGTGTAAACAGATAACGATATTTCTTTCCGGTCTAAAATCGATTGAGCTTAATTGATAACCCAAAAAATAATTTACGATTCTTCATCTTCCGTCCATTGAATTATCGATTATTGGATTCCCACGCCCACATCTGGATATGCAAGGCCACATGTTTGAGAAGCAGTCACTGAAGTTATTGGCGAACCCGTCAGCCAATCATTCTTCACCTATTTCAAGTCTATATTGGCACTTCGATATTTAATCTCCCTTTTGCGCGTGCTTCCGTTCTAGTTTCCATTGGTACACAATGGCTTTAAAGATATTTTGTCTTATAGTCACTGATGCGACAATTCAAGGTATTTCATTCCTCGCTGATGTAAGTGGTAGGATTTTCAAGAAAATTGAAGAAATTTCTTCACGATTCATAACTCTACAAGAGTATTCTTATAGAGTTTAAGGGAACTTCAGTCTGGTATTGAGATTATATTGTAGTGGAAGTGGCAGATCTTTTTTGCCAACCGATGCTGTCAATATAGCCTTTTTGAACCATTATGTCTTGGAGGAGACATTGGAATTAAAAATATGGGGTTTAGGTTTGGTTCATTTATCGAAGCACAGCTAAGCTAAAGTACGTTTTCATATTTCATCTCGACTACCACATAATGGAGTAATAATGTATTTGATTAAATAATTCATCTTTGCACTAATACTTTTTACAAACTTTTATTGGTTAATATATGGACCACTTTTCGCATCTTACCTTGTGAAGTACACGATACTACCAAGGCTGACCATAGGAATCTCTCGCTCGCTAGAACATTCTGGAAAGTGTGGCCGTGCTACCGATTGCGTGGCGTGTATACAACCCTCCAACCAATCAATGATTGATGTTTGTGCGCGAAGCGTTGCTTATACTCAATAACTAAATACTTCGTCACTAGGCGTTGCATATGATGCCTTCTCTGGTCTCCCTACTTTGAACATACGCTGGTTAATTTGGGGGGGGGGGAAATAATACTAGATGACCCTCCACGAGGTCAGTTGCACTTGTCTGCAGTTAGTTGTGTTCCCAAGAAAATTACCAATGCTGGAAGTGTAACTTACTTATATAATATCTGTTGTAAGCTTATTTAAAACCCCATTGTCAACATTAAAATGCAAAGAGCAAATGGTGTTATATAAAAACGTAAAATAATATGTTATTAACACATTGAAACTTCATTTCTCATTACATTCATCATGTTCACTTCCTTTCTCTCCATCCGCATAGAGGAATTCAGGAATAATGTCCGAGTCCTCAGTGTCAGACACGTAAAATGGCTCTCCGGTGTATCGAAGTGGTTCCACAAGCAGTGGCTCCGCGGAGATTGCCAGAAGATTTCTCGGCTCGAAATGGGCTAACCATCTCTTATTTGGGTGTCGGTCAAACATTATGGGCAGAAATTCGTCAACCGCGACCATCTTTTCCAGAGGTCTTTGTGCCATTAATTTGTGGGCTCCAGAGCGTCGAAGCACGTAAGCCAAAGTCCAGTAGGTATAACTGGGATAGGCCAGATGTCTCGTGGACTTGACCATGACCTCATTACTAGACATGCGTTTTCGACCCACATATAGCAATTCCCAATCAGCCAAGGAGACATCTGCTTCTTTAACTGTTGCTGTGAGACGTCTGGTAAAACCCGGCACAAAACGAAGATCATCTTCAAGAATTAGGATGCGTTCGTAGTCATTTTCTATCATGTCCTATGATTTATAAATAAACATGCCAGAATTTAACTGCAAAAAAATGGGAAATGTTAATGATGGCGACATTCGAGCTTATTTACCGCAAATAAATTTGGTTTGCTTTTGGGGTCATTACAGTAGGCTTACCTTCTGATGATTCAGTTACTGTCATGGTAGAACTAAGACACAAGATTTAGTATCGCAAGAGAACTGGGGACAGAGCTGACACCTAGAATACATGTTTCGACTCACGATGAACACTCACCATCCCTATTAATGCGATGTCAAATACCGGTCTGAGATCCTAACAGTTACACGGTGCACAACTGTCATCACTTGGGAAATGTTTGGACCTTAAAACGTCAGTCATACAAAGACCGCGTCTATTCAAGTAAAGAGCCAATGCTGAATTGATTAGAGTTCATTAGGCAGCCACACTTCTGCATTCTAATTAAAAATAATTACCATAGGAAACTTGGTTATTTTGATACACACGTGATTTGGGTTGCATTCTTACTTTTTATTGCCCCTCAGCAAAACGAAACAAATATTTTGTCATTTTTAAGTTTTAGATGCAGCTGACATGGAATAACAGAGACAACCAATAATGTAAAATGAAAAACAAGAGGATTATTTCACATGATTGTTGGATTGGATTTGCATAATATCTACCAACTGGGCAGTTCATACTCCCATATTCAACCTTCACTATTCAGAAAAATGCCTTTTTGTTTGATCAGGAAAAGGTGTTTTCTTTCTTCTTCACAGCACCCTTCCCCTATCGATTAAGAACATAGCCCATCGTAATTGGTTGGCTTAACCACTTCATTTCATACACCCTACTACTCCGTGTTTGCATTGTTGTGAGTTATAAGTATAATAAGAAAAATAATCGCAATATTTCATAGAGTAAATTATTTCAAGGACTAAACCGCAAATAAGTTCCATTTCCATAATTTTTGCCAGTCAAATACCATGACGTGTTAATTTAAACAATCAACTTTCAACTGTTAATAAATCCATTTTAGTTGGGTCGGATATCGGCTTGAAACATTGCCGTGTTAAAACGGAAGGATGAACATAAGAAATCAACCATATTCACCCCACAAAATTGGTTTTCCTTGAGTAACTAATTAGTGACAACTCAAAAAATTGAGAATGGTAAGGAAGGCAAAGAAATTGTTGAAACATTTTATTACCACGTTGATTTATAAGATCAATGATTTGATTCTTCCACCTTACTCCTAACAATGTATCGTCAATTTTAAACTTTATTAATGAATGTAACATTTCCTAACACCTTCAATTTTCATAAAATTTTTAATGTAAAGAGAAATAAATTTAACCAAGGCTAACTCTAGCGAATACCACAATGTTTAAAGAGTCTTCGCTAGTCTCCCTTAATTGATCAACGACGCTATAAAAAAATCAATAATTCACTTTTACATGAATAATCATTCAATTAAGCCAGCTGATCAATAGGTTCTAAGTATCGCGAATAAGCAACAATCGTGAAACACATGGACGAAGCTAGCTAATTAAGCTCTGCAATGCTCAGAAATTACAATGTGAATTGAGCTTATCATGAGAAAGTGGAAAATCAAAAGATAAATAACCATACAAGGCTATTCATACCATCCCCCCCCCCACCCCTTGCAGATATAGTTTGTAACTTCCAGGTGTTCAGATGCTATCTCAGTCATGCAAGCTGTAAATATTTTGCGGCATTGCCATGGGTATATTTCTACTTTAAAGAGCGATTATGCCGTTTCTAGTGTCACTTTTCAAAGCAATCAGTTCCTTCCAGTTTCGTGACGGTAAATTCAAACTCCTTTTAAAATTATAAATTAACTCAGGGGAAAATAAATAAAATATGCATAAAAGGAAAAAATGTTCTCCTAATTAAGGGCACAATTAGAGTTTACTTACCTGCCAAATTCGGTAGTGACTCAGGAAGCATCCAATTTCTCCATATTTGAGAGCCCTTTTGTGATACGGATCGGCATAGCCAGAAAGTTGGGTAATATTCCACGCTCTGATGATATCAGGATTCAATTCTCTCCCATCAGTCGCTTTTATCAACTGCACTTTAATACCCTGCTCCCGTAGAGCATAGTTCATTTTACGCAGCCTATCTGGTCTTCTCTCCAAGTTAATCAGATAAATTTGATCGAATCCGAGTAGTGACGGTTCTGGAGTTTCAATAAATTGATCCAATCGCGGAGAATGCTTCAAAGCCATTCCTTCCGGCAATGCATCATCAAATACTGTATTCAATCGTAGGTGAAGGAACACTTCAGCCTCTCGATCTAACAGATACTTCGCAGAACTTCGATAAGCTTTTGGGATTTCCACCTCGTCTAATGGGAGCGGGAAGTATCCATAGAAATCTCGATTGTCAAGGTAAAACGGAATATCCATGGCTTGAGCATTTCGAGCAAATACGATAATATCATCATTCGGACCACTGTATCCCTCTGGAGGTGGGTCAAAAGCTAATCTATTTTTCCGCGTGTGACGAAGATTAACTAGAAAAGCGGTGTGGACCATAGCTACGGGATGGATACCCACTTTATGTCTACGTTGGAGGGCGAAGTAATCACGAGAACGCTTGTAGTATCCCTCTTCAGTCATATCACCCCAAAAGTTCGAGAAGACATCAGAAGTTGTGCAATTGAGCATTGGAGCAATCACAGTAACGTGGGATGGATGTTCCTTCGATGGAAAGGCACTAGCATCGACAAGCTGCCTTAGGGTTGCATTGTTCAAGAGAATTACATCAGCGTCGAGGGAAAAGAGGAAATCAGCATTGATTTCATAAGCCCTATCTAGAGCAGCTTGACGCAAGCCGATCAAGTGCTTGTGGTGGTCGTCAGACCAATTTGGACTAACTGGATGGATATTGGTTTCATCCATGTTCAGATCAATTCCGTGGTAAAGATCTCGGACTTGATTTACCCAGGACTCCAATATTTTCGCACTTCTGTCGATCGTATTATCAAGGCGGAAGTCCAGATGAAGCCGCTTCTTTGGATAGTCAAGTTCTTCTAAATGATGTAGGAAGTAGGGAAGACTATGGGCTTTATTTCGTACCAGGACACTAACACTAACCGAAGGTTCAATTTCTGGAAAGGCACTGGAATCCGTGTTAGCCGATGCAACCATTGGTGTCGGAACAAGAAGAAAGATAAAGGGGAGGTAGGATAGCAACCAATTCATTTTGAGGAGTTATCTTCTAATCCTACGTCAGCAATGCCAAAATAGGAGTGCAATACTGAAGCCCAGGAGATAGATCCCTCCACTCGGGGCAAAACCGTTACTTTGAACACACTGTTAATCTCATTGGCAGTTGGCCACATGACGTGGCTTATGCTCTTTTCTAATTGGTCCAATATGGCCAATAGTTGGCCGGCACATACGGTGGCAGGATGCTGGCGTGCCAATACTTCGACCAATCACAAGAGTCACCATGATTTTTTGCTGCACCACAGTTCAATCGCGATTTGAATTATCGTGAATATTTGTAATCGTATATATTAAGCTTCATTTCGAAATTCGGATTTTTCTTTATGAATCTTCCAAATTTATCCGCCCAGAGCGTAGTCAGTTTGATACACAGACAAGGCAGTACACCGACCGGTCATGAAATATTGCCAATAATAATTAATGCAATATTATCATGCGTGATGGACATCAATACACACGAAATGTCCAGCCATATTGTCCCCTTCTTAGCAAGTGTGTCAGTAAGCTTAGCAATCAAAATGGTGGCTGAACCTGAGTCTCTTATTCTTCTATGAACTCACTGGAGTTGAGCTACGTCCAATCCTTTTTGTCTCTTACTAATCAGATGGTAGTTGAGACATTAAAAGAAAACCTTATCATAAGCGGTTGTTGAAAACAGTTAAATTGATAAACAGTACATACGGGTCCGAAATTAATGAGAAAGCATTCACACAGGAAACCGGGAGACAAGTGGTGAAATTTGAT